TTTTAATTTAAATAAGTGATTTTTAAAATAATGTAATATGTAGGTATTTAACGTTTAGCAATATTTAATGATATTTTTAATATGATTTTAATTTGGTATTTTATTATATGTTTAATTAATTTGGTATATTTTAATTTTTTAATAAACATGACGCGCTGACTTGTGTTGCGCTGAAATAATATTTTTAATATGATTTTAACTTGGTATTTTACTATATTTATTATGTTCAATTAATTTGGTATATTTTAATAAACATGATGCGCTGACTTGTCTTGCGCTAAAATGTCGTATACGTTAATTTGTCTTGCACTGAAATATCACCGCTGAATTTTCGTGCGCTAAAATGACCGCGCTGAATTGTCATCGATCCACTTATTCAATGTGTTTTTACCGGTTTTTTCATCAATTATTATAATATGYTAATTGCGCTCAGTTATTTATCAGTACACTGTTTGAATGTAATTTATTCAAAGAAAATGTATGATCCGACAATATTATTATTTCATATTATAAATAATAAAATTGATTACAGAGATGTCARTATTGTGCTATTGAATGCGAATAAATTGCGTTTTCCGTTGTGTATTGTTATAAAATAAAATATTTTTATTATGTACACTAATATATTCATGCATTATGCAAAGTCAGTGGTGGATTTAAGGSTTCAAAGAAAGTCGGAAAAYCCATAAGAGAGGTCTTGTACAAAATGTATCAGTGTAACATAATACTTATTATATTGTTATTTTTATTAACCTAACCTAATTTAACAATGGTAAATATTATTGTAGTTTACAGTTTAAAATGTATTAATATTTTTATGGTAAAAATTAAAATATTAATTTACTTTACAATTATTTAAATGAGCCTTTGTATTCATATTGGCAACTAGGAGAAGGTTAAGGCACTTGCCAACTAAACGACCGTTAAATCCGCCACTGTGCATTATGGTACGTCATTATTTTATATAGTTCTGTATTAAATATATAAAATATAGGTAGTTTGAATTGTTTATTATATGTTATACTCACTTATATTTATAAATATTATGTAGTATATGATATATATTTAAAATATATTATATAGGTACATTTATTATCAAATATAATTTCTACTTTCTAGTATCTAAACATATCTGTAGTTATTGAGAAGTATGGTTWATTGGTATGGTCAAATATTTATTATAATAATAATAATAAAAAAACATCAAAACTCTATCGTTTTTATTATGATTGAAAATATACCCACGGACTAAGATAGAATGGACTAACATCGAGACAATTTCGGTGATCCACAAATTTCTGGTTTTATGAGGCCTTATAACTGTTACTAGCGCTGATAGTGATTTTAGTTTACAAAAACGTGGTTAAAATAATAGATATATCTAGCAAATAGTTCAAAATTAAACTATAAGTTAACACTAATCAGTGTTTATCAACCTGGAGGTCATAACCCCTCAAGAGGGTCGCAAATTTATTAAATAGGGTCTCGTAGGATTTGAATATTTTAAACAATTTAAACACAAAAAATATATTTAAATTAATTTAAATTCTATATGAGTATATAAAAAAATACAATATTTAGCGGGTCGCTAAAAATTGGAATTCAAAAAGGGGGTCACCACAGTAAAAAAGTTGAGAAACGCTGCAGTATAACACATGGTATTTGCAAGACATCCGTGAGTTTTACTCTCTACCCAAACCATGACGATACCATTCTATTGTATCTTATTCCATAGCCAAACCATATTATTATTTATAATATCACGTTTTACATGATCGGTAAAAATCGTACAAATACGATATTGTATACGATATGATAATATTGTCGTACGTCTGGCAACGTTGAGGCTATAAGTAAGAGTGAGGACTGAGGAAAGTAAAAATAGTTAGGGTTAGAATATACGGATATAAGTGCTGCGTGCGGCGACTATCCTTCTCCATCCTGCCGCATCCCCTCTCCTTCAATACAATGAAAACGTTTTATACCAATATTTATGTTGAGCTTTTTTGTAGCGGTATTTTGCGGTTTGGTGCCCACATAATAAATAATTTCGCTYTAGAAAACCAAACACTCATCACATCATTGTAAAGTCAATATACATTCATCAGTTCGCTCAGAATCTAAAATTCAATTTGAAATTTATTGAATAATATTTAATGTTCGATCTGTTTAACGTCCTGCACAACTCAATTACACTGTCAGTATTTTTAATTTTATTCGAGCGCATTTTTTTAATTACATACAGGAAATCACAGGAAATCAATTATCCGTTTGTTCGGTTTAATCTCTGGAACTAATTAACCGATTCAAAAWTTTTTATGGTCAGAAATCTACACTATCCCGTGGATCGATAGGCAATATTTTATCTGGATAAATGGCCCTTCAATTTTTTATTATGAATTTGAGATCTTTTATATAAATAACAGATATAATAATAATAATAATAATAATAAATATGATCATATTTTTGTTTATCATAGGGTTGCAATTGGCTTTACAATTTAGTATGGATGAATAAGCAATTAGCAATTTGTTATTAGGCACTGATTTTAAAAATTGTTTCACCATTACAAAACTAAAAATTCAAGAAAATATTATGATTAAATATAAATTTATTCCCGTATTTTATGCAAATAGAAATAGCAATCAATATGAGCATCTATAAAAAAATATGCAAATGCAATAACTTCACTCATTCTGCCGACGTCATAATAATCGATACGAATTTCGGTGTGTGTGTATATATATATATATATAGGTACAATATAACAGTTTTGCCGGACCTTGAATTTAAGAGTTCATTAAAATCAATATGTCACAACTCGTTCACCTTGAGTATCCATTAAACTCATTATTGTAGACAATACGTTATAATAGATAGCAAACAGTACTTTAACTTCTATTTCAAGTACTTGAGTATATATTATTGGTGAAACACATTCGAACTACGCACTAGAAAATACACATTCGCACATGAATATCGTATTTTWWAAAACACTTACAATATTAATTCTAAATTCACGCGACTCCATTACGACATGTTCGAYGTGATTTCGAGTTTTATCATCGGACTGGTAACCTACGTGTACGTATTGTACGCGGCGGTCTTTGTTTCGATCGCCTACTACTTTTCGACGTCCACCCATGATAAATGGCGCAAACTCAACGTGCCCTACATCAAACCCTTACCGGTGTTTGGCAACTCGATGAAAATGGTCCTATCCAAGGAGTATCAGATTGACTTTTTCTCGAGAATTTACGACCGGTTTCCAAACGAAAAGATTTGTGGTTTTTATCAGATGAACACGCCRTTCCTGATGATCCGCGATCCGGAGCTGATCAACAGAATAATGGTTAAAGACTTCTCGTACTTTACCGATCACGGTTTTGAAAGTGACCCATCGATCAACATCATGGCCAACGCTCTGTTCATGTTGAATGGAGATCGGTGGAGAAAGATGCGACAGAAGCTCAGTCCCGGATTCACATCCGGCAAACTGAAGGACACGCATAATCAAATCAAAGACTGCATTGACCAGCTAATGGAAGCCATCGACGAAAAACTGCAAAACAGCGATCACTTTGAACTAAAAGAATTGGTTGACAATTTTTCGACTGATGTAATCGGTATGTCGGCTTTTGGTCTAAAATTGGACATGATCAAAAATGGAAATAAGGACTTCCGCAGATTTGGCAAGAAAATATTCCAAGCAGACTTGAAACAGCGCTTTATCCAGGCTATGCTATTTTTCTGTCCAAAGCTGGTAATTGCTCTTAAACTGAAACAGTTTCCAGAGGACGCTGCTGAATTTTATGCATCTATGTTCAGGGAAGTCCTCGAGTATAGGGACCGAAACAATATCGTCAGAAATGACGTCATGCAAACCCTAATACAAGCAAGAAAAGATTTGGTGACAAATGATGAAGGTGACTACTCAACATCTGAAAATAAATTTACAGTTTAATATTTTATACCAACCATAAATCTTTCCAGAAACAATATTTTATTAAATATTTTAAAACACTTTTTACATTATTGCTTCTATGCAATTTGTAATTGGTACCTACTCGGTTACTTTCGATAATTAACATCTTATTATTATTATTTTCATACATTTTATTTTATTTCACAGACCAATGGACTGAAATKGATATAATCGGAAACGCGATACAGATGTTTGTCGGTGGTTCCGAAACGGTTTCTATCGTGATATGCTTCTGTTTGTACCAATTGGCATTGAACAAAGACGTCCAAGATAAACTGCGCGAAGAGATCGTCACAACAAACGCGAAAAATGGTGGACAGCTTAACAACAACTATTTGAAAAATCTCCATTACATGGATATGATTTTGGAGGGTAATAGATGATAATCTATATTCCATTACGATATCGATACTTAAAATTTTATTTCATTTTTTTTTTTTTTTAATCTTTTCCATCAGCCCAATTGGTATGTAAGGAATTAAAAWTTTCGTTATTTCTTTATTTATGTTATTCAGTGAAAATTGCATCCCACTTGAAAAAAAAACAAACGATTAATAACTCAATGAAAATGAATTAAAATTATAGCACATACAAATAATTTTATAGTACTTACAATATGAGTTATATAGAATATAAAAATCTATAAAAATTTAAAAAGATTATTGCTTGACCAGMATTTCACAGAATTTTTTTAAATGACTTAACTAACTTATTAAGTTAATTGCCTTATATTGTTACTCGAGTGATTGTTACTTATTTTGTCGTTTATCATTTAAATATTATTCTAAAAATTTGATTTGGTATCTGCACACAAAAATATTTTATATTATTCTGTAATCTACCTATATAAATATAGCGATTGAAACATTTTGTTTATCAAAAAACATAAGTTCAGTAACTATTTATTTGAAACATAAAAAAGTATACAGTTCAACATGAAGCAAYTAATTAGGTTATTATAAAATTACTAGACGTTATTATGTAGTCTTTATAAATGTTATTTATACTACRTAATTTTTCGACCAACATTTTCTGGGAAATAATTTTATTTCTRTTAAAATAWGTTTTGTATAAATAGTGAWTAAAAACCTTGACCCCAAGTTAATACTAATAAACAATTATTTATATTTCAGAAATCTCGCGTATGTATACCATCAGCATTAACATATTAAGAAGTGCGACGAAGAATTACAAAGTACCCGGTCAGTCATTAGTCATTGAAAAGGGACAAAAAATTGTTATTCCGTCGTATTCCATACACAATGACCCTAAATATTACCCCGATCCCAACACTTTTGATCCTGAAAGATTTTCAACGGAAGAAAAAGCCAAA